TTTTCTTTAAGTTTAACTAAAGCTGTAGAGAAAGTACCCATAGTTTTTTTATAGGGGAATTTATTTCACAAATTGGCCTGGTATTTTTGGGGGAAATTAATATATCTTCCAATTGTTTTATGCCAGCTGTTAGCACAACTGGTCAAGAAAGACCCATCTCGAGGAACATGTGGCCAATCAGTCAACATCTACATTATGGCAGCAGCAGTCACATTTTGAAAATAAATGGTCAAAATACAATACAAAAATAATCTTGGTATATTCTTAGTAGAAAACAATTGCACCCTTTTAGTATTTGCATATCTGGTTTACAACAATGTGACCTCTACAATACATTACTATGCGATTCAGTATTGTAGTTCTCTTGTCAAACTGATATTCATCCATCCATCCTGCTTATCCTTTCAGGGTTGCAGGGGTTAAGCTGGAGCCAGTCCCAGCTAACATTGTCAGGGGGCGAGGTACACCCTGTCCAGGTCACCAGCGTTATAATATAGTTACTAGTATTTTCAAGAGTGCACAGCTATGCTGAAAAAAAGATTTCAGACACCGACTCCATCACATTATGGCTCGTAACATTTATTCTTTTTCTCACAATGCCACAACAAACAAAATTCAGCAGTGCAGAGCACATCAACTTGCCTCTTTGACAACAGCCAGTGTTACTTTATATGTTAAACTGTTCCCATTGAGCTTCACCTACACAGGTCGTACATTAGGAAGGAATACTTGGGATGACTGTGCAAGGTTAGTAACTTAGCTCCTATTTGCTGGTCCCTATTTGCAATTTTTGGTCAGTGCTTAAACCATATAACAGCTGATACTCATAGCCTAATGATGAAATGTGTTTCAGAATGTAAAAAAATAAAGATCAATCAAATCAAACACCAGATTTCTCTTTTTGTGAAAGACGGTTATTATTTCAATAAAGTGCACATTGTGTTTGTGCAAGTCTGTGATGACACGCACAGCAAATGACCTTGTTTTTAACTAAACAGCACATGATTGATCTCTACTCTAATCCCCCCGAGAAAGGATGAGTCTATTTCTTGGCTTTGCCCTGAGCAGCCACAGCCTCCATGGCCTTCTTGACCGTCTCCTCATCTCCCAGGAATTGCATGGGTCCTGTAGGCTTCAGGTTCTTGTCCAGCTCATACACAATGGGGATGCCTGTAGGCAGGTTAAGCTCCATGATTGCCTCCTCTGACATCCCTGGGAAGCAACAACAGGATATATTGAGTTTACAATCCATCCATGCATGGAAAAACAAGCCCACAAAGCTCAATTAATTTCAGAAAAAAAAACAGGATAATGTTTTAAACTATCCAACATCAAGAACACGTTTAGAGTTATTTCTTTAAGCACTATTCTACAGTCACTCTACATTTCCCTTTACCCTCCGACTGTAAAGTCTCAGTGAATATTTTTGTTTCCTGTCGAGTTCGGCAACATCCATACTACTATGTTTTCATTTGGAAATGTATCAACACTGATACGGAGAGACCATGCGTCCACACTACTCTGGGGTTTCAGAGATGCTAAAATTGAGACGTTTGGAAACGCTGCTGGCGTTTTAGACTGAAAACTCTTGGGTATCATTTAATCTGGATGGGCAGAAATTGAGATGTTTGGATACAATGACGAAGACCACCTCCTTCTTGAACCAAATTGAGACAGAAAAAAAAGTGTGGATGAAGCCATAATCTGAAACCTTCAAGCATCTATATTTCGGTGTGACTTGCTGTCCAGATCTGGTAAACTCACTGGACAGATTTCACCTTTGTTCAACTTATATTCTGCCAATGGGCAAAATCAGCCAATAGAAAGAGTAGTATTGAAATTGAAAAGTCATTATTCTTGTACCGTATCATCATTTGCAGACTATGATTGTTCTGCCAAATTTTTTTTCAAGAAACGTTGGTTTATATGAGACTGACAGATATTAAATACTAATGAGTATAAATCACAGACAGAGATAAGAAAAATCTGTGAGGGTCAGAAACGTGTGCCTGCCCTAGTTGAGGCAAATATACTGTGTTTTGTAAAATGTATAAAATAAATTCAGTGTTGAGTAATACTAAGATTATCAATCACTGCCAATTTTCCAATTCGAGTTTTAAAAAGGGGATGAACACGTCTCCACTCTCTTACCCTCGAGATGCTTGACGATGCCCCGGAGACTGTTGCCGTGGGCAGCAATCAGCACCCTCTTTCCATCTTTGATCTGTGGAACGATCTCATCGTTCCAGAATGGCAACGCCCGGGCGATGGTGTCCTTCAGACTCTCACAGGAGGGAAGCTGGTCATCCGTTAGGTCGGAGTAACGACGGTCCTACAACAGAAGACAGAGTTAATGTTGAAGTGTGATGTTACTGCGGGGGCCTGCACTGATGTAATTAAGGTGTCTGCAGTTGTTAAGAGGGACAGACACAATGTTTCACCGTGTGTCACCTTGCTTATGGCCTGATAGAAGTCATGCTCCTCCTCCATGGAAGGAGGAGGGATGTCAAAAGAGCGCCTCCAGATCTTGACCTGGGCTTCTCCATGTTTGGCTGCTGTTTCAGCCTTGTTCAGCCCCGTCAGGCCGCCGTAGTGGCGCTCATTGAGACGCCAGGTCCGATGGACGGGCAGCCACATCTGATCGATGCTGTCCAGGACATACCACAGGGTGCGGATGGCCCTCTTCAGAACAGAGGTGTAGCAAATATCAAATTCATAGCCAGCATCTGTGGTGAATCAGGGAGAGGACATGGAAAAGATGGTACATTATTAGCATTTTTCGACAAAGGGAGAGATTGAACTAATATAAACATCAAATGTGGTTTTGTTGTGGAGATAAAAATGCATATTATCTCAATTGCATCTCATGTTGCCAACATGCTAAATAAAAACACAAATACTTTTATTAATTATTTCTAGCAGTACAGCAGTACTTCAAGAAAATGAGCAAGTCATTCTGAAAATGTCCTCTCATTCAAACCATCATGGGTGTGTGTCCAGAAACATCAAATTTAAATGACTATCTTTTTTAATCATGATTTTACTATAGTCTGATTCTGTCTAAGGATTCTGTCCATCTCCAAAGTTTATTTGTTTATTTCTAAATGATTTGAAACTAACCTTCTGTATCTTTTATTTTGGCTCAACTCCTGTTGTTTTTAATCTGCTATATGAATGAATCTGACTTGATTTAACTTATATCATTATTCATTCCAATTTATTATTTTCATTATCAATCAATTCGTATTTGTATAGCCCGTATTCACAAATCACATTTTTTCTCATGGGGCTTAACAAGGTACAACCTCAACAAGAGTGAAGAAAAACTACCAAGAAAAATGTGTGTGAGGGATCCCTCTCCCAAGAGGTGCAATAGTTGCCAAGTATAGCTCATCAATAACATTACAATATTAACTAAATCGATTTGAAGAAACAGTTTTCAACAAAATGGAAAGGTGTATGAATGTTAAAGGTATAAACGGCATAATGTCTGGTAGAAATGAAGGGAGCGGCAATGCCAGCACAGGTAGAATATGTGAGTAGGCAATCCTAAGACAAATCAAGACCATTCTGTGTAATGGAAAAGGCAGAGGTGAGAAAGATCTAAACATGAGGATGGTTATTCTGGGCTCAGGAGTAAACAGGCCCAGCAGGGGGACAGATCTGTGCCAGACTGACAGATGTCTAATTACGCATTTTGCAGAGGTCCCATCCTCACTCTCTGTCCCTGCAGCTGCTGCTCTTGTGTCGCAGTGGGCTCTCCTCTACCTGTTCCCTCACCCTGCTCAGTTGCATAAGCACCAGACTCGCAGCCCTTTTAATCCAAACACCGAGTGAAAGCCCGATTAGGCCCCGGGATGTGTGATCCGTTTCTGCTCTACCTTTCAGGGCCTGTCCCCCTCTCTTTGCCTCATGCTCTCCGGTCTCACTCAGATCCGCGTCGAACCAGCCACAGAAGCGGTTCTCCTGGTTCCAGCAGCTCTCTCCGTGGCGGATCAGGACCAGCTTGTACACGGCCATCCTCGCACCGATGTCCTCTGCGGTGGATTTCCGGAAACTTTGGGGTGAGACACTCTTCCTACAATGCGTCAGCGACGTCCGCAGATTTGAGCTGACTCCGCCGGAACACCACAGACTGCCAGACAGACGCGGGCGCAGTATTTTGGATGATCTGAATTTGTCGGTGGCTCTGAGGAGTTCACTGGTTCTGATTGAACTTGACAGATATCACGACCCGAGCTCTCTTCTTCCTGCTGGTGTCCACCAATGAGAGGGCGAGCGGTGCGCGAGGGGAGGAGGAGGCAGGAGGCAGGAGGAGGAGGCAGGAGGAGGATGAGCACAGGCGCACGTCCACCAACACCGTGCGTCCTGCAGAATGGCAACCTTTACATTATATGTTGTTTAAAGTGTGACATTTGACTGTAAAAAATGTTATTACACGTTTTAAAGAAGGGGCGAACACTGACATTGTTATTTCAATACTCATATAATTATAATGGTTATTATTTTCATTATTATTATTATTCTTTTCTAGGGTAAAGAAAACTATAATTCATTCAATTTAGATGAAACGAACTAGTGAAAACATCATGAGGATTATTCTATATTAAATTTATGCCAATAGTTCCCTTTCACCTTAATCTTACACACTGGACATTTAAAGCTATTCATAAAAATGCAGAAATAGTTGTAATTTCATAGGGGTTCTTTGTGAATTAAAGAATATATTAAAAAGCAACGACTTTCAATAAAGAAGCATTGAAACTGCCCAAATTTAGACAGCATCTAAAACGACTACCCTCTCAGATGCTGGGTTTCTGGAGGCCGCTAAGCCCTCCAACAATATTCAAACCAAACTTTTTTCAGTTGAACTATTCCTCCTCAAGTATGACCTTTGACCTTCAAGTGAAGAGAGGAATTGTCAGTTTGTTATTCATCATTTCAAGAAGAAAGTGTAAAGAGTCCCTGAAACTAACACTCGAATAGGACAGATTGTAAACTTACATTTATTTGATATAAAGGGTATTTTAGCAGACAGGACAGGGAAGGGGAGAGATGACTAAAAAATGTGACCAATGTCTTAATCACAAGAAAATACCCTGCATGTTCTTTAACTTTATATCCACTGCTGATATCACTACTGATCACCAGGGTGAAATGAATTGGCTGTTGGGAGAGGCTTGTTTTCAAGACTTTCTGCCAGACGGTTACTGTTGTCTGAGATCTCAGGTCCTTACAGAACAAAACAGATCGAGACAATATGTGGTTGTGGGTAAATTTTGAAATTGAATGTACAGCTGTCAAAGCATTTTGCTCCTCTACAGTCAGATCTCACTGACATCACAGACTTTATGTCGTCAGATGTTTTAGTTAGGTGTCAGTACTCAAAATTCACTTTATAGTACAAAAAACTGCAATTAATCTGCAAAAAGCTACAGTAAATCACATTGTAATTTTATATGGTCTCTTAAACCCTGATTCAGATAAAGTTCATGTATTGGTTAAATTGTCTGAAAATGATCACCGGGGCAGTTTAATATGCTTGAAATATTAAATTTTTACAAATGTTAAGTTAGTTGATTCGGTATACAATGCACTCACGTGACTTCCGTAGGCGGAACGTTTTCGTCCAATCAGCGCTGGAGATGCGGTTGTTGACAGTTACATCTGAACGATGATTGCTTAGAAATCAAAAACACTCAAACGGTCCCGCCTCTTCCCGGAAGCTGACAGTCATCTGACTTTTCTTCCCTCTGTGTTTTCTCGTTAGCTTCAGCATTAGCCACCAAAACAACCGTCCTACCCTCCTCCCTCCTCTCTTCTCCTCCTCTCTTTTCTCTCTTCTCTTTCCTCGGGAGTTAAAACAACTCCTCCGTCCACCTCCAAAAACATGGACGAGACGAGTCCTCTTGTCTCTCCGCTGCGGGACTCCGGTGACTTCAGCTACGGTCCCACGGAGCCCACCAGTCCGCGGGGCGCGTTTGGAGGTACGCCGGGCTCCGTGGTGCGGATCCCCGCCGGCAGTCCGGGGCGCAGCCGGGAGAGGCAGCCCCTCTTGGACCGGGACCGCGGGAGCTCCCCGCGGGAGCCGCACCGGAACGAGTTCCCGGAGGATCCCGAGTTCAGGGACATCATCCGAAAGGCCGAGCGAGCCATAGAGGAGGGGATCTACCCGGAGAGGATCTACCAGGGATCCAGTGGCAGTTACTTTGTCAAAGATTCACAGGGGGTAAGAGGAACAGCTGCTGACTCTCATCCACTCATTCGCTGACTGTTGCTGCAATGCTACTGAGCCCGATTGTAATGATATACTGACCCAGTAAGACTGAGGTGTGTGATGCTAGTCTGAGAGGAGGCACCAGTGTTTTGATCCTAGTGTTGCGAAAGGCCTCTTCTTCAACCAGCCTGTGATGACTTGGCAAATAGGTTAAAAAGGCATGTAAACAAAACATGAAGCCAAAGTTTCAACTAATAAACAAGCTATTTCTAAGAATAGATCACATCTTTAATGTTAACTCAGCTGTTCATACACACATACATTGCAAACACAACACATAACAGCGTGACTGCACGCAAACGTGATGAAGAACAAAATACACAAAATAGAAACAGAAGGAAAATCAAATAAGTCTCTAAGAATTGAGAGAACCAAATGTAGGTTGGATAAATCTCTTTATTATAAACATTATTTCTAGTGATAGATAAAGCCCCCTCCTCCTCCTCCTCCTCTTCAGTCTGTGTTCCACAATGACCCCTCACATTTTCTGTAAGAGCCATATTAAAGTATCTTTTTATTGAAGATAATCTTATTAATTATTTTATTACTGTATGACAGGAGGCTTTCAATCCCTGATATAGTCACTTTCCCTATCAGTCTCGGACTTTTGGACCCGGCTGTATGGAGACAACTAGTCAAATCTGTATGCATGTCTTTAAAACACGATTTTGAAATGTAATTTAATCTTTATTTAATCAGGCTGTCTTGTTGATAAGCCTTAGAACAGGAGACATTCAAAATCAGCAAATAAACACAACACAACAATGACTTAACTAAAAACATTTACAAGAATCATGAAAGACATTAGATAATCCCAGTCTCTAACCCACTGTCAGTTGTTAACAACAACACAGATGATGTGTCCTGGCTGTCAACTGTTCATTCAACTAGTTTTTCCCCATTTCTTAGTTTTATTATTTCTGTCCAAAGTCCTAAACGTCTGAACAAACAGAAAGTGTGCATCTTTGATAAGGCGCAGCTCTTGTAATCGCTTTATTCTTCTTATTCCATCTTAGCTACACACCCGAGACAAATCAATGAATCATTATACATTATATTCTTTTCATTTGTCTACTTCTATACCATCTCCTGACTCTTTCTAATCATGCAGATCGACGGTAAACATTGATCGGCACTACTGGAGTGTACCAGTAAAAGTCTTGAGCAACTCACAGATACTCTCCTCCCACAGTGCCCCGTCTACATTGTGTGTTGAGTTCAATCAATGTTTTAAAAAAAAAAAAAAGGGAAGTGTGTCTTTGGACCCTGTGACTGGATCCTCACTCATTTGACTTTAATTTTAAATCTGTTTTAGACAAGATAATCCAGGTCTTTTATGTGCCACTTTCCCCCAACTCATTAAAAGCTTACCAAACAGAAATGTGTATTGTCTGCACATTGCGTGAGGTTTTTATCCAATGGCTTGCTCCCCTAACAACCACCCCCTCCCCACTCTCCCGGTTTCCTTAGTTAGTCACCAGCGTGCTAAGTAGTCATGTGCTCGCACTCTGTGGGAGGGTATAATTCTCATCTATGACCAAGTTTTATGTTGTAATCGGAGTATGTGTGTAAAACATGCATAATGCCACATGTGATGGCTACATAGAAATCCAAAAGTGACTTTGCAACCCTCTATGTCTTTAGCTTATAAAACTCTGATCTTCATTCATCCATAAAAACAGACTGAAATATGATTTTCTGCAGAGCACCGTGGCTGTGGACAGTTTCATTCCATTTCAGTCACAGTGGATTTAAATAGTGAAACATTTTCCCAGCAGTATCGTATCCCTTTTTCTCAACCTTGTATATGTTCAATATCTTTCAGTTTACTTCTTTCAAAGTAAACTATTATCCTTTAACATGAACATTTTATTTTCTGATGCACAACCAAACACCTTCATTTTCCTCTATTTGTAAATGTTCCAACTCTAATACCTCTCTATCTGCATGTCATTGTCATTTCCCCCTCATTTTCTCTCTCCGCAGAAGATCATCGGCGTGTTCAAACCTAAAAATGAAGAGCCCTATGGCCAGCTGAACCCCAAGTGGACTAAGTGGCTTCAAAAACTGTGTTGTCCCTGCTGTTTCGGTCGTGACTGTTTGGTCCTGAACCAGGGCTACCTCTCAGAGGCCGGGGCAAGCCTGGTCGACCAGAAACTGGAGCTCAACATCGTTCCCAGGACCAAGGTATTGAAGCGCACACACACACACACACACACACACACACACACACACACACACACACACACACATTTTTTCCTCCCCTAATACACCTTCTCTTCTGTAGGTGGTTTACCTGGCTAGTGAAACATTCAACTACAGTGCCATAGACAGGGTGAAATCTAGAGGGAAAAGGTTAGCTCTGGAGAAGGTGCCTAAGGTGGGGCAGCGCTTTCACAGGATTGGTTTGCCTCCAAAGGTAAGATAACAATTTATTAGTGTTTTCATTTGGTGATTAAATTCTCTCAAATATTTATCAAATACACACAATCCCTTCAGTAGCTCCCCTGGTGTCTCAACAAAAAACACTGTTGTCAAAAATAAATATTCTGTATGAAGAGCTTTGTGGGGATTGTTCATTTTAACTCAGTTCAACAGATTGATTTATTAAATGTAACAAAAAAATGTGCTGTGTGTAACAGAAACCCCCTAATCTGTTTCACCTGCTCCAGGTTGGTTCCTTCCAGCTCTTTGTTGATGGATACAAGGACGCAGACTTCTGGCTGCGGAGGTTTGAAGCAGACCCTTTGCCTGAAAACACCAATCGTCAGCTCCAACTGCAGTTTGAGCGGCTCGTAGTGCTGGATTACATCATCAGGAACACAGGCACGTGGCCACAGTCCTCAACTGCCATTGTTTCACAAAATGTTCTTGCAAAGTAGAGCAGGCAACTAGTTGTTATAATTTATAGTGTTAATCAGATTAATGGTGGAAATTAATTAAGTAGATGTACTCAAGTAATGTACTTAGGTAACACTACTTGATATATACAACTTCATATTTGTGCTCCACTGCATTTATCTGACGGCTGTAGTTACATGCTCAGATGAAGATTTTACACAAAAGATACTGTGAACATTTTATATAATATGACTCACTGTTTTTAAAATAACCAACCTGATAAATGTAGGAGTACATTGATCCAAACAGGATCAATGGAAGTAATGCAATATTAGAGTACTAGATATTGTTTGGGCAGCAGGATGGATTTAACTTATAGCACAAATAAAAAAGAAGCAGTATCTAGTGTGAACTGTGAACACATGTAGCTACAAATCTGTTTAACAGGGTCAATATTGGTACAGACACCTGTGTTAAACCAGTTAAATATGTTACTTGACTTGGCTGAAGTACAATTTCCAGACAACAGTTTTCTAATACGGTACTGCTACTTTTACTTGAGCATAACATCCTCATGCTTTAACTCTGATCAAGATGTTGTTATATGGTCAGGGAGAGTTTTGAGTACATCATACTGAAAGGAATATATGAACTTATCACAGGTTTAGTAATCTGGGTTGAATTTAAATCTGTCATTTGCTGTTGCAGACAGGGGAAACGACAACTGGCTGTTGAAGTACGACTGTCCAATGGACCCTGTTGGAAACAGGGTGAGGATACACAGACATGCAGAGTGTCAAAAACGTGACATTCAGTTTTAAATGCTCATGCTTTGGCTGAAAAGATGTTTTGTATTCAAAGAGTTCAAATTGAATTCCATTCTGTCTCCTCATGCTCTCTCTGCAGGACTCAGACTGGGTCGTAGTGAAGGATCCCATCATCAAACTGGCAGCCATAGACAATGGCCTCGCCTTCCCCCTCAAACACCCCGACTCCTGGAGAGCCTGTAAGCAGCGACACTGACATTGTTTTAACCCTCAGCAGTAATTCACCCCTGAAGATATCTATCCTTTTTGCTCCATTTTCTTTTACATTCAGAGTTTCTTAAATAGAAAGAGATAAGCGGTTCAATTACTGTATTATTAAGTTTTTACACATGTTTACTGTCATTAATTCACACTGTTATTGTCCAATCACCAGACCCGTTCTACTGGGCGTGGCTTTCCCAGGCCAAAGTTCCTTTCTCCCAGGAAATCAGAGAGTTGGTCCTGCCCAAACTATCGGACCCGAATTTCATCAAAGACCTGGAAGAGGACCTGTATGAACTATTCAAGGTGAGGACGGAGGAGTAAAGGTTCAGCAACGTCTGTGTGGCAAATTGTTGTGAATGATGTGAGTGAGAAAAATGGATTCAGACATTGAAATAAAGGGAAATGCAAAATGGAGAGGAGGAAGACTCTTCTATTCTATAATCATAAACATTATTTAAAATGCCGATATTTGTAAAGCCAAACTCAAGTCCTTAAAACATGATTTGATTTTTTAATTCAGTTGTTTACTTTCAGAGTTGTTTAATATCCTACTTTTTATCTCTGTTTTTACTCACTCCTCATTTGATTATTTTATCTTTCATCTTTTTCTCATTTCTTTTTGCATTTTAATTATTTTATTTACTCCTGCGTTTCTTCAGTTCCTGTCAATATTGTTTTACTCCATATGTGGATGGTTTATTGCTTTTTTTGTATAAAAGGT